TTTTTTTAGTTGTATGTGTTGGAAGTAGGTGCTTTCAGTTCTGGAGAAGAGGTATATTGACTTCGTGTATCTATATACATGTAGTATGTATACTAAAGAGATGAGTGATTCATTTACAAACAATGATCCGGATTACCCTGTGGATTTCCCCACCATGTAGGAAACGGGCGTTCCTTACCAGCAGCCCCGAGGACGGCAAAGGAGAGAATGAAGATGATGATTTGAGATCCTCCATCCATCGCAGCACCGATAAGGTAATTGTATTTGTTATAGATCTCTGGTAGCCGGCGTCTGAGCCAGAACTGCGAGAAGAGGCCGACAACAATGGATGACCAAATCCACGATGTATTTCCATAGTATGGGTTACCGGCGTAAGACACGATGATCGCTGTGTTAAGCGGCAGCTTTCGGAGACGAGGAATCACTTTCAGTAGACCCCAGTGCAGGATTGGCAAGGCAAGGCCGATGACTAGACACAGGGGGACGATGAGATAACGACTGTTAACGCCGTACATGTCCTTTGCGAGTGCCCATGTGATCGCCTGGGTGTTTAATCCTTGCACGGTTGAACCACTCCAGACGTTGTTTCCTACAGGATCGAGGAGGATCTCTCGTTGGGAGCTCACAATTGTGGTCATGACGACGTAGTTTAAGGCTGCGCCGAGAAGGGTGCCGTATATTTGGGTGGCGAACATGACGCGGTGTGGGACTTTGGTGTATTGTCCGACTTTGAGCCAGTTGGCTAGGTTGACGGAGAGAAGGATACACTGGTGGGACCAGCTGGCGAAATAGAGATTGGCCAGGGGGCGGCCGGGATGAAGCGCACCTGCCACCATCTTGGACAGCTGGTTGGTGGAGACTCCAGTCCCGTAGAGACCGTAAAGTACGCAGGAGAAAGGTGCAATGAAAGCGCCGAGAAGAAGAGAAACGATGTAGCCCCAGACTGGGAGAGTGGTTTCGCCTTTGATATTGACAATCAGTCCAGCGACAAAGGCCAGGACGAACAAAACCAGATACCACCACATCGGGACTTCCTTATACTTCAGCATCGCCTGATAGTGTGGATCCGGTTGAGTCTTGCTACGTGACTGCTTCCATGCGAGCAGCATGTCTTTGCCATAGAAAATGAAAACGTGGGTAATCAAAGCACCGATAGCCAGGTTCTGTGTTAGGTACCCCCAGACGGTGCTTGAAGTCAAAGCGGGTAGGCCTGTTTCCTTGAGCTTTGTGAAATCAATGGTTCCATGACTATTTATGACTGCTGACGTTGAGAACTGTGTGCCATTGCTCTGGAAAAGAGAAGTGGACATGAAGGGGAAGGTTTTCGCATCCCAGGCATTGCCGTAGTATAGACCGAGTATAGCAGCATACAGAATAACGTACCCGATCCAAGTGTTCAGCTGTTGCTTGATTGGTAAGGAAAGGTATGTGCTCTGAATATATTGCCAGTCCAGCGAAAAGTTCAAGAGGCCCATACCTTCGTTAGACGAAGCGCCTCCAAAGACTTTTGAAAAAATGGCCCGAGTGTGCTTTGGCGCGTTCATGGAGGCGAGACAGAAGATAGAAAATCCAGACAGCCAAGGCATGATGTACGCGGGAAATAATTCCCACACAGCAGTAAGTAACAGGGCCCAGCCAAACTTGGTCAGGCGAGCTTTGTTGGCACGCCGGTCAAAATGAAGATTCTGGTAGAGCACCACCTGGGGTAAGGTGGACCAGTACACCATTTCCGCCGGGTAGACAATCAGCGGCCGCATCAAACCTGCTAGGACAAATCCACAAAGGGCCATGGAAAAGGTTCCCAAAACTGCAGTGGTTGCAGATACACTATGGTTATAGAAAAGTCGTTCCACGGCATATATTTCCACACCATTGAGGCCGTTATTTCCAGATGATGCGATTAGGGCGGCTACTACATGCTCTTTGATGGTAAAGCGCTGACCAAAGTTGAGAAAGGTGAGCACTGTCTGAAGCCATTTCCATTTGAACCTATCAGGACGAGGAGTAATCAGGGCCCAGGCTTCACCAAAAACATAGACGAGCACTATAGGCAAGTATGTAAGTAGACAGCACAGTCACCAAAAAGGGGGAAGGCCTACGCTGCAGAAAGACCGCAGACACTTGCGCTTGATATGGCTTGAAGACATAGAGCATGGTAATCACGCTCGAGAGCGCAGTGAACACTGAGCCTAGGACGATAGAACGAAAGGTGAGAGAAGAATCACCGTCATCTCGGACGGAGACAATGAATTTCGATACATCAGCACCTGATGTGAAGCGTTAGCTGCAAGTAACAGGAACCTGAGATTACAGAGTCGGCTACCATTTCGGATGACAGGATGTCCCTTCACATATAAAACCTCATTGTCATCACCCCGAGATCCTATTGAGTCTTCGCCATCTGTTTCGCGTGGGTGGCCCGTCGCCTTCTGTTCACTGACCGTCTCATATGGTTCTTCTGACTTATTGCCACGTTTTGTCAGTTGAGAGCCATTTGAGACTTCACTCCCATCTGCTGGGGCTTCCACGTAGCTAGGCATTTTGGTGATGCCGAAGCGAGAAGAAGGCGGGTCAGGAGGGGATGAAAGATAAGAGGTAATTTAGATAGCTCCGGAGATGGAGGGATTATAGATATGGGGCTGAACTCCCATTCTGATCAATATTCCAGGGAGAGTGGAACGGAATATAGTGAGACATGCAGCATTTTATAGCCGGCGTCCAACGGTCTTCCGAGTTCCTTCGCATTGTTCATCTTGCTGCTAATGATCCCAATGGTGCGATTCGTAAGTTGAATGATAAGAGGTATTGTCAAGGCACGGTTACATCCAATGAATGGTGCGAATTTAGTTGCAATGGTGAAATCCGCGTAGTGCAGCAGGTTGGTTCCCACCGGGGGCCTCGTGACCAATTAAGCTTGCGGCTTTAGATTAACTCCCATGACAATCTTTGCCCTAAGATGGTGTTCCTCCTTAATAGAATATTTTAAGAGGGCCTTCTGGCCACCAGGATTGGTCCTTTCCAGACGTCTTTGTTACCGAAGCCTTGCACGGGGCACGTTCATGTCGGGAGTACATCCGAGAATTAATTAAATTTATTTAGTGAAGGTTCTTCGTATGGTAAGAAGTGGTGGGTCTCTAATTCTACGTATACTTCTAAAAAGTTAAACTCTTTGGAAAACAACACTAATATAGTACCCAAATCTAATGAATTAAGGCACCTGTGTGCCAAAGACCTAACCTAGAAATAATGGCTAAAGGATTCCCTCCAAGAGGGCCGACTTGTGTTACCTTTCGTCTCTGAAATCGACCAACCTGGCCGCTCTCACTTATGATAGCAGGGAAACAAAAGCGATAGAATCAAGCCCTTTTACGTGGCCTGAGCTGACAGACTTTTGGAGTATAGAAGATATATCATTACTACTGGCCCCTAATCCTCTTGCAATTAATCGTCCCTGCGAATGTCCCTGTGCGGAGGAGCCCATGCATTGCTCACTGTGCAACCGGCCTTGCGCTTGGAGTAAAGTACTTCCTGACAGCAGCCGAGTGCCAGGAGAGAACTTAAACTGAGGCGAAGCACAAGGCACCGATATCTGTGTAAAATAGACAAGTATACTGTTGGTTGCACATATATGCTGGACTGCCTTAACAAATTGTGATCTAAGCAACTATCGAATCATCCATCCCCTAGTAAATCACCGGCAGGGATTGTGTCAAATTTCAACTCAAACTTGGTTGTGCTCACTGAATGACGGCTCACAAGAGAACCCTACAGGGCAATACCATGCATACATCACTAGTTAAGGGATTCACTTTCTAGTTTCTGCCCAGAGTATAGACGCCAAAACGTCTAGAAAGACAAGTAATTGATCATTACCGGCTCCTGCTTTATCACCTTGATTCGTGCTAGATGAAGGGGATAGAGCGAAAGTATCTCTGGCCGCGTAGCCGCGGGTGGCAACTCGCCGCTGCCACATTGCAGGACGTGCTGATGACCTAATAATGGCATTGCCTCATCGCCCTTGGACATTCGTGTCAATTCTTGATATTGTGAAAACGTGGCGGGGCTGAGTAGAAACATCCGACCAGTTGTCTATAAGAGTGCGTCGCGGTGGGAGTGGTCCCAGCCGGAGACATGTTGCTTCATCAGGTTGAGGAAGCAACCCAGGAATAGGTCGCTACAATTGGCGAATGCTTCGCTATCCAAGGTTAAGTACTTTGATAGTAGTTTAAACAGTGGGTGCGACATTTTTAGAACAATGCCGCTCAGCTGACAGGTATACTTTAAGAATGACTATCCCCAAGTTAGGCGAGATGCTCATAAGCTGGAAAGTCGCCATAAAGGTTTTAGAGGTGAGCAAGGGGCTTTCTGCCTTTATGTTGGCTTTGTAGGTATCGAAACAACCGGTTTGGAGTTGAAAACCAGTCTTCACCTGTTCCCCTTTCAGAAGTATTGTAACTGTGGTGATCTGTGCCAGCCAATCGCTATTTTGAAGCGACGCCATGAATGTAGGGGACGTCTGCCACCGCCCACAAGCCGAGTTTCCATCAACATACTTGTCCATAATGCTAAGACAGTGTAGGACTTTCTGCTGAGTAACTGTTGTTCCACGATCTGGTGCTACAGTTGACGGCGCAGATTGCCGGGGAACTATCGGCTGGGCAGCGTCGCCTACATGTTCGTGTGGCGCCTTGCCCGTCTGGCATTGGGCATCGTTTTTACTATACCAGACGTACTTGGCAATATGCCATCTCTTCAACCGCGCTTTGTACATACGTCTGTGAATTCAATGACTCAGCAGACATGGCGATAGAGGTAGACATCTATCTATCTTACATAGCTTGGAATTGATGCTCTCGTCGCATATGTTCTATAACTTCTACAAGAGGCTTCTGGCAGTAAGGCTCGTGACTGTTGCCCTATGTTCGGTGAAGTCCGCTTCTGTGGCCCATTTTTTCGTCGGCATCTTGTCTCAGAGTGCCCTAGCCTGACGACTTAAAAGGTTGCATGGCTGCCTTAGTGCGGGGTTGGACAGGAATCAGGCTTTGGCACGATTGCCGTGAGGTCTTGAAAATCGACTTCGACGCTTGGAGAAGAGAACTCTGTAGCCGTCGCAGGGAATCAATGTTGACGGACACCACGTTGGGAACTGTACTGATAGTGGCCTCTGTCGACTTTCGGGAGAATCCCACACCGGTCTGAGGTAAAGCTAAGAAGCGCACTGCAAACCAACACGGTATATGTAGGAGGCTTGAAGTTATCAAGGATCCCATGCTGCCGCTAATTATCCACAGTCCCATCTTTCCGGGATTAGTGCCAATCATTCCACACTTTTCGTTATACCCTCTCTTCCTCGCTTAAATCTTCCCGGTGAGATCTGTAAGAATCACTGTGGAAGGCGTTGTATAGTCATGCGAATAGATCAATCGAAACTAAAGGAGCTTCTCCGGTGTACCCGAGTTTATTCTCGTATCAAGTCCGTCATTGATCCAAATTAAAAGTCAAATACCCAATGGAAGAAGGATGATGAGATTCAGAGAATTGACGATGCTGGAGGTACAAAAGTAGCATGTCGATCACATGGCCAACGCGTGCTTCGAGTGAACCTTTTAATTGAGCCACGAGATCCAGACAAGATCCCTTACGAGTGTGAAGGTAGGACATCAGAAGCTATTGAACGGAGTACCGGTTGCTATTATTTCCCAGGCCCAACAGATGTATGTATGTATCATGTATCTCTGGACAATGATCATGCAAAATCATACAAGCGCCCTGAAGAACAACTATCAACGCTATATGGACATCATAAATGATGTTAAAACAAATCGAAGGTCTGCAAGCCTAATAGATGACGAGGGTATTTGAACTTCAACCTAATAGTTCATCACAGGGCCACCACTCCCAGGCCCAGGCTTTTCTTCATATGGTCCATCATATCCAGTATAATCGTCTAACGATCTGTAGCCCTGAGGAGGGCCAGCATCGCGCCCACGGCCTCTCCCACGTTGCCCCCCTCGGTTTGAGTGCCCTCTACCTCTGGAACCGGACCCACGTCCACGTCCACGGTATGATCCGCCACGGCGATGACCGTCGTCGTGATGATGGCGGCCACCATGGCGTGGGTTATAGGGGGCGGGCCTTCCTGATGATGGACCGTCCTGGCCAGTTCCGCCTGAATTTTGGTATGAAGTGTCTTCATCACGATCTTGCTGGTGACGTCTCTTATGATTCTTATTCAAGAATTGACTTTCCCACTCTCCTTCATGGGGGTTTTGTTCTTCCACACGCAAAACCATTTTCTCGCCAACGACTGTTTCAAAAGTGAAAGCTTTATCAGCAGGCACAGGGTGCCAGTTTTGTATTTTGCCAGCATCAATAGGACGGGCACCTTTGCGCACCGCTAAGACTACCACGGGCTGTGGGTTTTCTGTGTAATACTTCTCTGTTGCTGGGACAGGAGTTAACCGAGCAGCCCAGACTCTATGTTCAAAGACTGCGGTGCCGGTAACCTTCCACTTGAGCTTCTTGCCAAGACCGCCAACCTTGTCTAGAATTGACCGAGGCGCAGGGCGAGGCGTGATTAGTATACTGTTAGCCATGTACTTAAGGTCATTAGAATCAGCAAGCCCCGAGGGCAGCATTGGGTTCAGTATTTGACTGATCAAACGACTGGAGTCCGCATTGGATATGAGGTACCCGGTATAGAAGATGGTGCGCTTAATGCACAGTGGGCCATACGGCGACTTTGTCCCATTGGCTGACCGGTTGCGGACAGCATCGTTGTGAGAATTGATCATACGTTGTACTTCGGCTGTTTCAATCACTGGCGACAGAAACGCAGCCCCTTCCACTACCTGTATCACTTCCGCATTAACTGCTTTTCTGGGAGAGGGGTTCTGCGCAGTCTGAAACCTCCGGTTCAGCTGCTCAAAGAACTCTCGGAAATGTTTAACACTGGGTTTGGGTCAGAGGCAAAAGTGGTACATAGATGGACATTGCACTCACTGTTTCACACGGTCCTCGTAAACACGTATTTCATCGGCCTGGTTATATGTGAGAATGAGGTCTTCAAGAAAAGATTGCTTGAACTCCATAGTAGTTGAGAACCGCTCGCTGTTTGGTCCAACTTCTGGCTTGAGGCAAATGAGGTCAAACTCCAGTTTCCTACTGTCCACTACACGCCTGACAAGGCTTGCAAACCCACTCTCGCCTCGGCCAGTGAGAAGCACTGTCAGAGCGTCTTTCTGCTCCATGCTGAGCTTGACCAATTGTACCTACGTCCTATCAGTCAACATGCCAGTCTTAGTTCAGTATACGTGAGCCGCACGATTTGCTCATTCCACCATCCCTCCCAGCCCCGTGGTTCTTCTTTTTCAAGACCTTCCCCGGTGGCGGCAAGTAGATTCGGGTCATGCCACCATCCCCCGTTTGCGAAGCTCTCGTAGGCTTGAAGGAAACCGATGGTCGGCCCGTTCCATAACTGCGGATTAGGGAGAGGGCTCTGGAATACTGAATGATATTAACCCAAAGACCCCTTACGGCGATCTCCATTATGTTGTATAGTCTTACATGTGTTATCGAAGTCGTAGACATGGATCGCTTTTACTTGGGCCACGGCTGTTGTGCAGACGGAGGCAACAAAGTTAGTATTGCCATAAGCTATGAAATGCAGAAAAACGATCACTCACGTGGCAGATCTCGATTGATAATTGACCACCGTCTTAAACCTGTAATAGTGCGTGAAGGGGAACGTTGATAATCCTGGGCTAGTGACCCGTTTGCCTGGCCGCGCGCCATTGCGGCAGAGTGGTTCGCAGCTACCACAGCTCTTGCAGACTTCATGCTGTTGCGCTGACCTCTAAAATGCTCCTGGACCACTGAACCCGTTAGTGCATCCCCGTCGCCAAGTGTAGACTGGCTGTGTTGGTGACGGCGACCGGTTGTACGAGTCGAAGAACGAGGATCAAAGGTTCGTGGTGGAATTTTTGCCATGACAGCAGCCGACCGCAACGTGACCTCCGCCAACGACACTCCGACTGCCACGATGGACCGCCCTTGGAAAACCCCCATGAACAACAACTGGGAGAAAACTACGATCGCAGGCTCATCAGAGGCCCATCAGACGCTAGATAATGTCGACCTGCAGCAGGAAATCATGCAAAAAACGCTGGAGGAGGTAGCACAGGAGGAGGAGGCGGATGGCAGCGTGGCCAACCCATGCGTCATTTGTCTGGAACTGATCTCAGAACCGGCCGTCGCGGTTCCCTGCAGACATGCGAATTACGACTTTCTGTGCCTTCTAAGCTGGCTAGAAAACCGTCGGATTTGTCCACTTTGTATGATCCTACATAAGAGATTCAAGATTATCTTCTAATTCGAAGTCTAGGCAAGAGTGACGTTTCCGCGGTGGAATATGAGCTAGATAGCCCCGAAGGCCCGAAGGTCCATCGATTAGAAGCTCCGCCAGAAGCCCTCCCAACCCACACCACGTCCAGTTCCCGTCAAAATTGTATCTACAATCGTCCGCGTCGTCCCCGGCCACAGATTCATCGTCAAAACCCACCCTCGCGCGATGAAGAGGTGAGGCGGCGACAACATGTCTACCGCCACCAGCTTTATTCCCTGAGGGTCGGATCGAATCGTCTTTCGCAATACCAAGAACTGACGCCGGATAAGTTCAAAAATGATGAGGGGCTTGTTTCGCGTGCTCGTACCTGGATACGGAGGGAACTGCAAGTCTTCGACTTTCTACACCGTACAGAGGCAGGCTCGAGCCAGAGTTCAGTGGCTCGTCCGGGGCAGGCAAGACTCGAAAGCCGCCGAGGAAGTAACGCTGAATTCTTGTTGGAGTATATCATTGCGATTCTTCGTACCGTTGACATCAAAGGCAGCGCTGGGCAAGCGGAGTCTCTCTTGCAGGATTTCCTTGGCAGAGATAATGCATGCCTGTTCTTGCATGAGTTGCAGGCATGGCTTCGAAGCCCCTATACATCACTATCGGACTGGGACCGTAATGTTCAGTATGATGATCCGAGTAGGAGGACAGCTTCATTTAGGTCTCGTCCAGAACCTCGGCCGTCTGATCGTACAACGACTCCGGTATACCGAAATAATGACCACGTTGTTCATGGGAGGGTTTCAAGACCACCGCCCTCTCGTAGACCACAATACCAGGAAAGATCTCGTGACGCCATGGCCCAAGCGCGAAGAATACAATACGCACGGGGCCGCTATATCCCTGATTGACGGTTATGCCACGCAGCAAGCATTCTAGACAAATTTGACGAAGTCACGAATCACATAGCATATAAAGCAATTATATAGAATCAAGCTGTATATTATGTCTTCTAAGGTGGTATCTCTGAGTATGCTGTAGTCGTTTCTCATAATTGATGCTGGTGTTCACTAGCCATTGTGCTTTATCGCCTCCTACCGAAGCGCCCTGCGCCTCTGCCTTTCGAGTTCTTATTTCTAAGTTTCAATGACCGGTAATTAGCATGTGCCTCGGGATTAACCTTCCTCTCGCGAGGCTTAGTCTGTCTCTCTTTCACTTGAGGCTGGGGTTTCTCCCGCTTCTCTGTTGGCGGCGGCTCTACAACCCCGATAGCATCCCTTATCCTTTCTGAAAAGCTTTTGCTTCTAGCCGGGGGTTTAGTTTGCTCCTCGTAATCCGAGTCAGAATCAAGCTCCGGCTCTGATATTGAATGCAGCGAAGCAGCATCTGGAGCACTATTGGTCTCGTCGCGACTGGCACCCAGCTGCTGGGTCTCAGGCACAGCCGCCAGCTCATCATCACTTTGGTCCACATTCTCTGTGCCGTCTTCATCCTCTGACACCGGTAACTGTGACTCGCGTTTTGGCTTGGAAATAACCGGCTTCATGCGAACCCTGCGTGTCGTTCGCTTTTGACCCTTCTTCTTGAACGTTGGTCCTGTATCCTGCTCGACAGTCTGGCTATCAGGCGCTTCCGTGTTCATGCCAGCTTGCTCTGCTTCTATCTCGCGGAGTACATCCAACTCATTGTCTAGGCGTTCTTCTTCCATATCTCGTAGTCCTTGTACCAAAGCAGACAGTCCTTTGCCTACAAACTGGGGTCGCTTTCGTACATTGATTGGGCTCAGGCCTTCACCATTGGGGTTTGATGCAGCGTAGCGTGCTGAATTGGATCGTCGCAAGAATGCTGGAGTTTCTGACTCCGGGCCCCCTTGACCAGCGTCGTTAGCGCTCGGCTGAGGCGAAGGCTCACGTCGAATAGCATCGTCCCGGTTGTCCATCATGGTAGCGTAACGCCATGTTGTCGGCGTCGCAAATAAAGCCGAAAGCATATAACTCTTGCTTGCGGAAGCAGGTGTCCGGTCACCCCGTGGACTGTCTTCCTCCTCTTCCTCTTCCTCTTCCTCCGCAATGGTATCTAGTGTCTTTCTTTTCGACGGCGTCTGCGCCGCTGCCCCACGTACACTGGCCAGTCTTGCCGCGGTGGGTGTTGCTGTACTTCCACCCGACTCAGATAATAAGTCAAAAAGACCCAACGCTTTTCCGTCTCTTTGAGGGGTGGGTCCGATAGCTGTCTTCAACGGCGATGAGGATTGTTGATGCGTAGATGGACTGAATAGTCTGCGTAGCGCTGACGGAGAGTCATAAGGATCGAATTCAGACGGATGCCCGCGCGGCTTGGAGGGGGTAGTGAAGGGACCTTTTGCCGCTTTGCGGGGCGTGGATTCAAGGCGGGCCTCATGGGATTGAGGGGGTGATGCATGCTTGCGTTTCTTTGGGCGTTCTTGTAAATCAACGGAATTGGGATTATGTTTCTTCTCGTATCGGGCTGATTTCTCAAGCGATTTCAATCGGGAGTATTCCTTATACTTGGCCGCTGGCACGGACAGAGAAGTTAGCCCATGACGCTAGCAAGAGAAGACGCGAGTTGCAAGATGACTAGACAATTAGTTACGTACCAATCTCAGGTGCTTGCTTGATATCATTCCGGTCCGCTTTTCGTCCCTCATTTGCGGCGGCGAAAGCCCTTTCCCAGTCCTTTAGTTCTGCACGGAGTTGCGCTGACTGCGCGGCGATATCGGAAACGTCAAGACTTGCCATTATCGCATGTCGTAAACGAATTTTTCTTTTTAAAAAAAAGAAAAGGCAAAGTTAGTGGACAGAATATACAAAAGAGTTGCGGTTCAATGTCAATGTTTATTATAGTAACGAGACCGATGGCAACGGTGTAATCGGAGTCCCGCCGTTGGTTCCTTTTTTGGCGCGTGCGCGAAATCAATTAACGCGGTGTTTTATGACGTAACGTGTTTCGGTTACAGACTTTGACATCCATACCATCATTATCATTATCATTATCCCATTAATATAATTTTATACTCTATAACAACCTCAACCACGTAGAGTCATATGACATCTCATCGCTACCAACTTGTCAATCCCCGTTGCCTGTCAAACCCTCCTCTCAACTGAGTCTCCGGGTGAACAACCTTCCCCTGCAAGATTGTATAGTTAACAACTCCCTCACAATGCTCTGGCTTGACCCTTGCTAGCCAAATCATTTGCTCCGCTTGCTTTCGGTAGATCAGAACATTGGCTGCAAATTTGTGGCCTCCCACATGCGAAACAAAGAAGATTCCCACACCACCAGGGCGTTCGTCATCCGCATCACGATATAACCCGTGGGGTCGCAGATGTCGCTCCAATTCTTTCTTGATTAACGGGGCAGTGATTCCACATCGGGCATCTCGCCGCTTATGAGAACAGAGAAGTACCACATAATCGTATTGGCATGGTCGAGACGACAATCGGGAATTGACTGGTTGTCCTTTGGGAGCATCAATGAAGCAGTCAACCAGCTCTCTGACGTCGCCAGTGGTTACTGAATCCACGAAGGTGAATGAAGGCAGAAGTAGCACGGTAGTCCCATGCGTAGACTGGTGATCGCCATCTGCCTCATGGTTCGGGTTACTGAGGTTCGATGCCGAGACCATAATTCGCTAGTTCTGTTAGATTGTATCAAAAGAGTGTGATTTATGGTAAAGCCACTTACCCCATGTTTGGAATTATTTGAGCTGCTGTCGAAAGCTTCCATTAAACTTCCCTTTTCATTCTCGACCCGCTCCGTCCAGTCTGATTTCCCAGTGGCTACCAAGACATGCGTGTGGAATTCTTTGATGTGTCCATAGAGTACCCGGGAGTTCTCGACCTTCACTTTGGACGGGAAATGTACCGTACAATCGGCACAATCCAGTTTGCAGTTTGGTCCGTCCTGTTTGGGATCTACCGTGGGGAAGATATAGTCGGCGTTGCGACTGCCGAACGAGAGGAGTGACCGCAACATATTTTTCTTTTCTTTCTTTGTTTGTTTTCTTCTTGGGCGCTTCCAAATATGGGATAAGCCTCAGAATATACTCGCAAGTTGATATAGGGTAATGATTGACCGTTGGCGTGGTCAGTCTCGAGGCTGAAATCGAAGCTATATACTAGCTCGGAGGTGCTCAAATCCCCGAGACCCGAGCATTATCTCCGAGAAACTTCTGCATGACAGGCGATTCAGGAAGCAGCTCCTTCGCCGCTGATTTAGCGGCGTGTCATAGCTTATGATAAATTACATGGCTGCCTTGTGAGGTCATTTGTATTGAATCATAGTTATAGTTCTTCTAAGCTATAGAGTTTACCATTGTGTTAGCCTAATGGTAGTTCAAATGCCAAGCCTTCAATGACACGTTGATCTTGTTGATTGAAAAATTGAACCGTGAATATTTTGGATCTACAAATCCCCCTGATTAGGTATCAGAGGATGAACTATTTTTGGTTGCTTCTGGGTAATTGTGATGGTGGAGTTGATTCGGGCACAGCCGCAATGGAGGGTTATGAGCATGGACTATAAGATAGAGTTAGAGTATTCTTAGAAGCAGGTAGGGGCCTGAGGCTGGCCGGGGCAATCCATAAGTATTCAACAGCAATACAGAGAGTACATATGAAACGAAGTGGAATACTGCGGATGCCGAATGGGGAATCTGCGGTCCCTGAATTGGGTCAATTTGACCCCACTTAAGCTTAACCTTTTCAAGCCTTTTTTTTTCTCTTTTCGTTTTCTTTCCTTGCCGCTTGTTCAGGCACCAGGGTTTCAGTTACATATCAGATCGAATCAATAATGTTGGAGCCTAACTACACTACACAAAAACGAAGAAAAACAGTCAAAAGATAAAAATAACAATCAAGACAATCATAAATACGTTTTCCTACTACGGAGTAACTAATTCGCAAAAATATGGTAATATGTGGTAGACTTTCCCCGAAACGGAGATGATGACCGGGTGGGCCAACAACACGTAAGCCGACGAGTGAAATTGCTTATCAAACACCAGATCTCCGACTGAACCGAATGTACGACCGGGAAAGTTAGTCTGACCGAGGAACCCCCAGCAAAAGATCGGGAGCAAGGAAAAAGACCAGCAAAAGGACTAAGATGTCCACCTCGAACAGATTCGCCCCGTTAGCAATCGTTCTACAAGTCTCTCGATCATGACGGATGTCCCACCACCACCACCGCCGCCGGGGGCTCCAGACCCGGAGCCCCAGCCGGAGCAACGGGTGCGCAAGAGGCGACGACGGACGATGGCCTGCGTGCAGTGCCGTAGCAGAAAGCTCCGCTGTGATAGGAAGCTTCCTATGTGTAGCCGTTGTGAGAGCAGCAAGACCGCCATCAATTGCACCTATGAGAAAGAATTCCTTTGGCAACAACCCAATACGGTTGTTACGCCCGCTTTCTCCGAGCGCGGTCCCACTAGTACAACCATCTCTCAAGCCGCGCATCTTGCTCGGGCTCATCCTACCCCGGACTCGGCGTTAAGCTCTTTAACTCGGTCTCAACAGACTTCTTCGGATACGCGCCCCGCCCTAGAGAAACGAGACCGTTTCCTGGAGACCGTCCTAGGGGCCCCGAAGGCCGCTGTCAATCAGGAACCGTACGTGAATACTGAGCTGCTACACCGTTCGAAGTATCCTGCCGGCGTAAGTCATCATGCAGCGCCATTGCACCGCCACGGAGACGATGAGGATCCCGCGTCTCCTTCACAACAGCTCGATATCTCTCCCAGAATCATGATGCGAGGAAAGGAAACAAAGACCCGGTTCAACGGGTCGGGGATCTTCGCCAATCTGATCGCTCAGGTTTGTCATACTCCAATTGCATGCATCGCGTAGCGTTGCAGCGTCACAGTTAACCAGAATTCTAGTTTCCGGATATTAAATCGTTTGCGGAGGAGATACGAGTCGCCAGTCCGCAACTGTCTGCGCTACGACCCGATCTGGCGAGGGTGAAGAGAGGCCTCTGGAAGCGGAAGCCTCTCAATACACCCTTCCCAGAACCTACCACTCTGTCACTCACCCAGATGCTCCCGTCTCGCCGTGTGGTTGATGACTTAGTCGTGTTCTATCTGACTTATTTCGAAGCTACTCACCGTGTCCTTCATGTCCCGTCGTTTCTCAAGGAGCTTGATGAATTCTGGGCACAACGGGATAACCCAGATTTTGTATCCCCTTACTTCGTGGTCCAACTTCTCCTGGTTCTGGCTTGTGCTTGGAACCTGGCCGACTTGGATACACTACAGCTGAAAAATGATGATGAATCTGAGTTGACTTGCTACACGGCAATAGAGTGGGTCCTCCACGCAGAGAGATGGATTGAGAACTCTCACATCAAGAGGCCTGACATTATGGCGTTTCGGCTTTATATTCTACTACTTATTGCGAAGAACGCGCATGGAATGAAGCGCAGCAAGGCTTGGCTTGATACCGGGACACTGATCAAGCAAGCGATGTTAGCAGGGTACCACCGGGATCCCAGCAGGTACATGAGGATCTCTCCGTTCAACAAGGAGATGCGCCGGCGGATATGGGCCACGATTCTCGAGCTTGATCTGGAGGTTTCGCTTGAGCGAGGGATGCCGCCTTCCTTGCAATACGGCGATTTTGATACGGCTCCAGCACTCAACCTCAACGATAATGAACTACAGGACACCAGCGAAGAGCTCCCGGCCGAGAGACCACTAACTGAGATGACTGATTGCTCATTCCAATCTGTCCTGATACAGTCCCTTCCGTTGCGACTTAAGGCGTGCAAGCTGATGCATTCTCCGCGAATAAGTTGTTGCTATGAAGAAATACTTCATATGGACTGGGAGTTGAACAGATATCTTTCACAAATCCCTTCCTGGACGGTATCGGAAGGGGAGGATTTACAAACGCAGCACAAAATTATCCTGATAAGGTCTCTCCTCCAAACTAAGATTGGCCATAGCCTTTTATCTATCCACACGCCATTTGCCATCGAAGCTCCAACAGAAACCCTCTTTGCACCATCTTCTCGGATTCGCCTGGAGGTGGCCACCATGATTTTGTCTACACAGAAACAGCTACATGAGATCTCAAGACAGCTATCCCTCTCTATTCTGGGAGATTGGACTGTGCAGGCCTACTGTTCAGTATGTCAATTACTTCACGCCAGCACCAACAGTCAAGGTAGGCTTCTAAGAAAATGCAGCATGATGATAGAACTAGGCTAAAGGCACAACAGCTTCTTCCCGAACGTCTCTGCCCCAGACACTTCCCGGTCTGCCAGAGTCCTTGATCACGCTAGTGGAGATGACCTTGACCTGTCTGGAGACACAACTCCTACTGGTGGTAAAAGGCGCCAAGGAGTATTTTTTCATGTCAACTATCTTAGCTTTAGTGAAGGCAAGATTATGGCCGGCGCAGGCGACTGTCTACAAGCAGGAGGTTGTAGACCGAGTAATCTTTTTCGCTCAAACACTTTTCACGCGGCATGCCAATTGCGATCATCTGGGGGAATTGGGCATGGGGGGTTTTAAAACCAGTCAGGTCCGTGACGCTACCACGTCTCTTGTTCGTCATGCAGAAGAGTCTAACTTGAGTACTGTGTATAGGTTCCAGTTTTGAACCCGAGCTCTGGGATGGCACAGCCTTTCGTTCCTAATATGAACATGCTACCACCAACAAACTTTGGCATCACGGTAAGATCAATATTCATGGCTCGAATGAATTTTGCTAAGATTATAATAGCAATCTGGGGAACTAGATCCTTTCCTTGATGCATTTGACTGGGGGGATCTTACGGGCATCACATTCGAAGGATACTAATATATACGGGATACCAGTTGAAGAGCTCAGCGATCAGCCGCTGGCACACAAAATCCATTGCGACCACTGGCCATTGGAATAAAGCCTAGCAACTGGCCTGTGTCATTTTCTCAGCAATGACAACCTGCCTGACAAGAGGCATTTTGCCAGTCATGTGGCTATTCTATGGCCTTCGTCTATTGACAGACAAAGCAATATACTAACAAGGCGCTTGGATTTTAAACCTAGTGCAATACACTCCTGTCTATATCCCCTGTAAGCGAAACGTCATCCTTTCACTATACCTGTCCGTGGAGGGGAGTTATATGGGCGCAACTGTACTGCTATCATACCGGATGTACAAATATATGACGTTTGATATGCTTCACCAGGCATAATATAATGGCTGGTTTACTATATTAGCGCATGTGAATGGTTACTGGAACAGCTAGTCTTTTGCTGATGCCCCGGGGAAGAAATGTGTCAGATCACACGATCTCAACCTACAGACTCCTAGTCCCAGTATTTGTTCATATAATCAGTCCAGCCCACCAATTTAACTGGATCATCCCACATACAGCCATACCCTAAATTTCTTGGATTATTCCTAACGTCTGATTATATTTTACAAATCCACATGTGATCACAGCCAAGAGCTCACAATACGTGTCCATCGCATCGCCTTCTTTTAAACAGCAACATTGCACGCATTTTTAACCTGAACCATGCTCGCAATTAGCAGGCCACCAGGGGGTTTAACATATTGGCTAGACCAAGGCACATCCAATAATATGGCCCATCATATGTTGGTTTCAGGCATATAGGTACGAGTAAACATGACCCGCATAAGCTAAGGAATCTCAACCCTTCTAGATCCCTCAAATAGAGAAGTAGATCGATATTGACTCTGTTAGGCTGTAGGCTGGGTGCCCACTAGTCCTAGTAGCAGACAAGACCTTTATCCTGGCATGTTGAGGTTGGTAGGGTTACGCATGGGGGACATTTTGTTCACCGGGTTCTTGGGGTAATTGGAGTATGCGAAATTCCTGCTTCGTACATGTCCTACTTGTATTATAGAATTCTCTGTGTACCGACTATGTGCCATGGTATGAGGGGTTTAGATGGTCTACAGAAGATTGTATAGCACTATGTCCTACCATGAATATGTAAATATGTATCTCTTGTTTGATTCTGAGATTCTTTTTAATGCAACACTAGATAGTAACCATTACCATGATGTCTATATTTAAATGTATTGGAAGAAAGAGGTATCCAATTTCAGCCTTGAGTCACATCCTTCCGAGAAGAACAGGGATATTCCAATTAATATAGTAGGCAAGGGAGGTCTAAGCTTCCTTACCTCTCGCACTCGATGACTAGGGCCTTCGAAGTGAGACTTTCTATATATCCTGGACTCATGGGATCATGTGGGGAGTATTTGCAGTTGATAAGGAGTCAGACTGCTTTTCTACACCAATGATGTTATTAATAGTACGACCTGGGTATCACTAACTGACACAGGACGAATGTGTGTCTACCATGATTTAGACGACAGGGTGACATCCAACCTCGCGAGGCATGACAACCGTGATCTTATGTACAGTCATTTGTTTAAAATAACACAGCATGTACTCTAGCTACCAATTATGCTCAAGTAACGGCAGGGGTATCTGTACCGGTTACTACAGCATGGTTGACATTGAATTCTAGTGAGATGGATGCATGCCAGCAGAAAGGTGGACTCTAATTCTTGGGCCAGTGTGGGCTAAGATAGTCGACTACCAAGTTTTGTGTTCATGGGGAAGCCAATAAACATGCATTGTGTTTAGAAGATACCTGTGTTTGTGTAAGTCAAGCATATGTGGGGGCGAAGTTCAGTCTGGTTCACTATTTTACCATTTCACGATTGGGGCTTGTGCATGTTTGCTAGGCCAAGTTGACTCGGATATCACCGAAAGTATCCTGAAGGTAGGGTTATGTTTGTCAGTGAATAGGGCGAGGGGTAGGCAGAACATAGGAGGCGGTACGAGTACCGAAAAATACACAGGGGCGGAAATGCCATATATAAACTCTACGTTTATTCTAGGTTATAGAGAATCTCTCATTGCACTTGTTCAAGACCTAGAATTGCTAAAATCTACAAGTTGCTACTCAATTGTTCTACTGATTCAATTAATACACCCTCGTGTAGGTCAGACTAACCCCCTGCCCATCTCGTTCCAGCGTCTGGATATTCATTGAACCTTAGCCAGGTACACAGCCATGAAGCCCAACCTGGGAATGATCCTCATCATCACCCAAGCCACCACAATCCTCTCGACTACAACCCCTAGTGACGATGGCCCGGCGGATGTAGACGGCAAATCACCCCCCGCAAGAGACATATTCGCTCTGCAGAGTTGCTGGACCAAATCACCTTATGGCTGCTCGGATAGCAGATGGTGCTGGAAACAATGCGGTCCGAATGGGGGATGGTGTTGGCTAGCTAAAAATTGGGGAAGAGGTGAATGGAAGTCCTGTTCTCGTGCCTCTGATTGTGTCCCCGGGTAGCGACAACAGTGATTGCGGTAAGGGGAATTGCAAGGCATGTGGTTGCAGTTGTTGAGTGGCCATGCAGTGGATCTCTATGTATGTCATTTTTACTGCAGTTCTGAATAAATGGTGTACCGAGTTCTGATCGTTTGGTACAACTACACGGGGGTTCAAGATCGTCGCTTATACATGAAGTCCGTAGGAACCAAGTTTTGGGACATATAAGGTTGGACACTGAGTTGGTTAAGTGCAAGCTGGAGTCTGGACAGCCTATATACAAACTCATATTGGTCAGGCTATCCTCGGACAACAACACATATGGTCCGGCCCCAGCTGTCGGCGCGCAGTACCCCGACAGCCCTCGGTCCAGCAAGGGCCGATATACATTGTTGGAGTCGCGCCATGCATCACCTGTAGCCCCATACCCCAGATTCTCCCCATGGTCTCTTAGCTTGCATTGTAAAGAAAGTTTACTAGTTATGGAGCAGCTCTATGGTGCTGTTTGTGGTAGGGTATATCTACCTTCAGCCCGCTCAGCGGTTCTATGATTACAAGCGACGCGTGCGCTCAAAGAAGATCGACGCTCTGTTCAATATCACCTTGGAAGCCAATTCCCTCCCTTTCATCCGGTACCTTATATGTCCCGATGGCTGCCACCGGTGACAGTACTACTGGCCCTTGCTCGGGCTTGGACATCTCGTATGGAAAACCTGGTAGCTCGATGTTCAAGGTCAATACTCCCAAGTTGTCCGATTGCTAAGTGCATACCAGGATACAAAGGGCTTGTAGAACAGCCATTTCTACTATTTCTATCCTTGTTCGCGAGTATTGGAGGTGTTCTCTTCGGGTGTGTTTTTCGGTCAAATCCTCGTAGCTACCTTGACGTGGTCTAAATGTTATACTCGCAGGTATGACCAAGGAGTCATCAGTGGGACTTTAGTGATGAACAACTTCGTTTGTGTTCCCCTCGTGGAAAGTATATTCAGAGGTCCGCGTCGCTAATATACCATAGGCGAAGGAATTTCCCACACTGGCCAACAATTCGACACTCCAAGGTTGGTTGGTGTCTGTTCTCACATTGCGTGCCATGTTTGGTGCCTTAGTCAATGGCCCAATCGCCGATCATCTCTCTCGACGTTGGTCTATCCTTCTCGCCAATATCATCTTCCTTATCGGATCCATTATCCAAGTTGCATCGGTCAATATACCAATGATCTTTATCAGTCGGTTTATTGCAGGGTTGGCTATTGGTCAGCTCTCAATGGTGGTTCCTCTTTATATCAGTGAGCTAGCACCGCCCAATCTTCGAGGTGGACTTGTTGCCCTACAGCAATTCGCAATCACGGGTGGTATCATGATAGCCTTCTGGCTGAATTTCGGAACCCAGCATATCGGTGGAACAGGGGACGGGCAATCATCCGCTGCATGGCGCTTTCCTCTCGCTCTGCAATGTCTATTCTCATTAATACTGGGATTTGGGACATTTTTCCTGCCGTACACTCCCCGCTGGCTGATGATGAAGAGTAGGCTTTTCAGGATAACCAGCGTAGCAGCAGAAGTGGCTAACAAAAGTGCAGACAGAGAAGATGAAGCAATGCCAACCCTCTCCCGTGTGCGTCGTGTCCCTAGGAGCGACAACCGCATCGTTCAGGAAATGCTCGAGATCAAGGCGTCAGCGGTGTTCGATGATGAGACAACCGCTGCCATGTTTCCAGGAATCACCTCTCCTATTCTTCTGAGCTACGAAAGATACAAATCCATGTTTACCTTTCGCCATTTGAATCGCCGGCTCCTACTTGCTTGTCTCCTTCAGCTGATCCAGCAATTCACGTGTATATCACTTCATCATTATATCAATATGCTAGGCTAACTTCACCAAGGAATCAACCCTATCATATATTACGCACCTCAGATCTTCAGGAAGATCGGCTTGTCCGGTAGTTCTGTAGACCTCCTCGCGACCGGTGTAATCGGGATTCTGAACTTCCTCTGCACCATCCCGGCAATTATGTACATGGATCGCTGGGGTCGCAGAAAGGTCCTCCTTGCAGGTGCCGCCGGCATGGGTATCTCCCAGCTCATAGTAGCCACCCTATATGCCGTATACAAGAGCTCCTGGGCCAGCAACCGGAGCCCTGGCTGGGCCACAGCGGTGTTTGTATGGCTGTACGTATGCAACTTCGCGTATAGCATTGGATGCGTGAACTGGGTTATTCCCTCCGAAATCTTCCCACCGGGAGTCCGATCTCAAGCTGTTGGTATTGCGATCGGTACAAATTGGTTGAGTAATGTAAGTAGTTTTCCGTTATACTGCTGTTATGAACACTAACTTGTGAAATCAGTTCATTGTGGCGCTTATTACGCCTCGAATGCTAGAGTCGATTGAATTCGGCACTTTTTACTTCTATCTGGGTACGCTCTTCCCTTTAGTTATCTCTCCACGTAGTGCTAATCAATTGCAGCCTTCTGTGTCTTTCTGGCTATCTGGGTGTACTTTTTCCTCCCGGAAACAAACGGTGTGCCCATTGAAGAAATGGATAAGATTTTCGGCGGCAGCCAGGGAGAACAGGACGCGATACGCCTGGCGAATGTTTACAGCCCGCTTGGTGTAGGGACTGGATTCGATGGGAAGCAAGAGAAGGATACTGATAGTCATGTGGAAAATATTGAGGAACCATGATCACAGATGTTAGCATGTACGCTCTAATATTAGTTAGGGAAATGTATATTGTGCTATGTCAATAGTAACTACCATGATATTTACGCGGAGTGGAATGTGGTAAAATGCTGTCCACATAGATTGAGGACTGTCGAGACTACTTGAGATCGTGTAAACTTGCCTACTGGAAATTAGCCCTCATTTTTAGAACAGAGCTGCAGATCGGTCGTATATCCTTGTTACGCGCATCATTGGCAGAACCAGCAGAAGCAAAACCTAGACTTAATGCTGGATCTTCACAATGTCTACACACCCGTCAACCCTCGCCGACTTGTATCGGCTCACTGTGTCCCGACAGCTTCCACTCCACCTGACAGCCTGGTTCTACCAGAATGTAAAGAGAAAGTAGAATTCACAATAAGACTTTCTTTTACTACTCCACTCCATTTCCCATCAGCGTATGCCCATGGCAATGACCGGCATGTACCACACTCGGGGCACAGTAGCCCGCAGCAAAGACTCCCACGCTTCACTTATGGATCGGTACACAGGAGCCCGTCAGTGAACCCCAAGGGTCGAGTTTACTCCACCTCTAACCACGCTGCTTTCAACCGCTACTATCCTAAGCTAGCTATAAGAAGCCATCTTTTCAATCATTTTGCCTATGCTCAACACCATACTAAAGTCGTCCTTGATTGCCATCCACAACCGTCAAAATGTCTATGACCGTAGCCGACTGCACAAAGACCCGCGAAGGGTTCCCCCGACCCTTTCCAGAAACACCTACCAATGTCTTAGAGCAATTCAAGATGTCTGGGAAGGTGGCTGTGGTGACGGGAGCGGCGGATGGCATCGGCTATGCAGTGTCAGAAGCCATGGCGGAGGCCAACGCGAATGTTGCCCTTTGGTATAATTCGTAAGTTATAGACTTATCTAATGATGCGCATAATAATGAGCTAATATAATCTGGGAAGGAATGACGCCGCTATTAAGAAAGCCGAGACTCTTGCACAAACTCACGCGATCAAGACCATTGCCTACAAAGTTGATAGTAAGCTGTATACATGCTTGTTGATCGATACCTGCCACTAACTCCGGTCTTATAGTCTCGAACGCCGAACAGGTGCAGAAGACCATTGCAGAGGTCGTTCGTGACTTTGGAAAGATCGATGTGTTTGTTGCTAATGCTGGTAAGGCATTCAACGGATAACACTACATCAGAGATAGTAAAGTTGACATTGAATAGGAATGGCTATCTCAAAGCCCATATTAGAGCAAAAGCTAGACGAATATCACAAGCAGGTATCAGTCAATGGTAAGACTCCATTACTCCTGGAATCAACTCCTACTCTGCTAAACGAATCATCTAGTCGACGGCGTTGTCTTCTGCGCTAAGTACGCCGGCGAGGTATTCCAGCGTCAAGGCAGCGGAAACTTGATCATAATATCCAGTATGAGCGCACACATCGTCAATGTACCCACCGAACAGCCCGTTTATAATGAAAGCAAGGCCTTTACTACGCATTTTGGGAAATCGCTTGCCCGTGAATGGCGGGAGTTCGCTCGCGTTAATGTCGTTTCCCCCGGCTTCTTCGACACCAAGATGGGCGCAAGCCCACTTGCGATTAACGAGGCATATCGTATGTCCTCGCTTGACCGTCAGGGACATACCAAGGAAATCAAGGGTTTATACCTTTACCTTGCTAGCGATGCCTCTACTTATACTACTGGACGTGACGTTATTATTGATGGAGGATACACGCTTCCTTGAGCAGACTTTAGCAAAGAATGAATAATATAGACCACCCTTAGTAGTACTCCTCTATTGTTTGCATAATATAATCATGAGTAAGCTGAGTTATATTTCCCTAATCGTCTTCCCATTGCTCCTACTTTATAACTGCTTAAAACCGTCCCAGCACATCCACATGCGACGGCCGCCTTAACAATACCAAACAGTACTCCCCACTTAAGACCTTCCGTGGTGTGTACCTGGCTGACAGGCCCTCGGTTATTCCAAAAATTAAACACATCGATGTTCTCGTTAGAGGAGCTTGACCCATCGGGTTACAACTTGCGTCGGCCGTCTGTCGCCCGAAGGATAGTCCTACTAACAGAAAAGGAAGCTCCACGACACTTGTGCCCTAAACACAACAATTCATTAGCTGATCCCTCGGTGTCGAAGAACTGTTCTCCGTAAAACTTCCCCGTAGGGTAATGCAGGTTACGGGATTGTCCTGGCGATGAGTAATGAAACTATTCAAACTAGTGATGCGTATGAGGAAATGCCAGTATATTTATAGCAGTGACCCTCTCTTCTTAAAGCATGCCAGTACTTGCCATAGCCTGTGACATTATTAGTACCCCTTGCCGTTGGCTTCCCTCGTTCGGACTGCTTTGCGCCCATCCGTTCCACCATGATACTTCCAATTAAATTGGCGTACCTATCTACAACCCATCCACATTATATAACTGGTACCTGGCGACCTTCTCTGTATTTGCTGGGTGATAAACTCCAATATAAACTTTTATTGGTGAGTTATATGGAGGTACAAGTCCATCTGGAATATATAATAGTAATGTTTGCATATACTTCATGTTGTGCCATGTTCTCTGTAAAATATATTTCTAAAGGTTTCTGCAACGCGACTACCTCATTCTGCAGCACGCACTGTAACATTAAAGCATTACAGCTCAAATATGAAGCAAATATCAACAGGTATGTATAAAAACAAAAGAAGATTGGAGGAGAGATAGATAGCACCAGACGATGGATGATTATAGTTCTTCAGTTAATCTATTAGGGTTCTACTTAGTCACCCGGAAGCGCAAGCCCTTTTTCGGGCATCTCGGGATGTTTGCATCCTTGTGCATACCCGACGTTACCTCGAGCATGCTAACCGATCTTCATCCCAGCCATAGCGATGACCGGTTCGATCAAGAATATTATGATGATTAGATCTTATATTTCAGCTTGAAATTTCCTTGCTCTACAATGCCAAAACCTTCAACTTCTACATCAGCTCCGCACGAGCTGCGAGCAGTAAGTTACCCAGCGGTGGTGTCGGTCTGGCTATGCAACTAACATGCGACAGTGTACAGAATGTCGGGTGAGAAAAAACGTTACTGGAAGCAGAGAAGAGATGCTTACTGACAAATTGCGCGAAATGCTATAGAAACGTAAAAGCAAGGTAGTTACTCCAGATCAATTCGCCTACATGGAGATTCCGTTCACACGCCCCACAGTGCTCCGGGACGCCGCCCTGCTCGTACTGTTCCCGAGCCAACAAACCATGCATCTTCGGCCGTCCATCGTTGCGAACGCCATTGACGCGCAAGTGGGTGTTGCATCATGTCCTCACTGGATTGTTTGTCTGATGACTATTTAGGAACATGGATCAAATAGAGCGTCGCTGCGCTAGTTTAACAGCACTTTTGCATCGGCTGAACCCGCATGTTGATATCGAGGACGCACTGAAGACGACGACTATTTCGCGGAGTGTCCTGCAGGCCTCAGCTTTTGAAGGAGTGAGCCCCGCTTCAGTTGATGAGTTTGAATGGAGCGAGGCTTCACTGGGGTCTCCTGCTGAGCGAAGAGTGGGCCTGGATGGCATGGCATCTCTGCCCACAGGGAGCACGGAAGCTGGCTATCTCGGTATGTTGCAAGGGATCTACGTATACCAACGTAAATCTAATCGTACTTATAGGCAATAGCGCAGGGTCTAGTATCTTGAGAAACGTCCCAGGGTTGATCCCAGAGCATTCAGGTTTAGAGACCCATCAGCGAACACAGGTCTCGCCTGAAGACCTCAATCAGAGTCCGGACCTTCTGCTTTCAGCACATCTGGGCACCTCCGCCATCCTTGATGGTTTAGTAAACGCGTATTTCACGTATTATAATACATCCTACCCGGTCTTGCATGAGAGTACATTTCGCCAGCAATATCAAGCTTGCCATAAGCTCCATGATCGGTCAAGTTGGTATCCGATATTCTACATTGTCCTGGCGATAGGGAATTGGATTCTTGGCGGCACGTCTGGCTCGAGAGAATGTCAATATTATTCCGCCGCACGATCGCGTATGTCAATGCATATGTTGGAGTCCGGAACTCTCCTCACGGTTCAAGCGTTTCTCCTAATAGTTAGTTTCCATATATAACGACCCCCCGGTCTAGTATACTGACAGGGACAAGGGAAACTATCTCCAAAAGAGGGATCGGCCGAATACGGGATATAATTTCATCGGAATAGCCTACCGCATGGCTCTTGGGTTGGGGCTTCATCGCGAGCCACCAGCCGGAGCGAACACTGATTCGTTGTTCCATGAGCGAAGAAGAGTTGTCTGGTGGATTGTGTATTGCTTCGATAGTGGGTTCGGCATTACTACTGGCAGACCCGTTATGGCCTCCGATAACTTCATTGAGACTTGCCTGCCCCGCAACATAGACGACTCAGTAAGATAGGACATTACCCTTGCCCGAAGAAAGAGACAGGTGTCTAACTGGACTTACAGGCGTGCACTTTAACCTCGACCCTCCCGACGCCATCGGGCCGACCGACAACATATTCTGCCATAATCGCACAGGCACGACTAGCTTCCATCGGAAACAGCATTTATAGTAATGTGATCTCAGCGCCGAAAGAGAACATCCTTGACTTAAGGGTCTCTCGCTCATTTGACCACCGACTGAAGGCCTGGAGGCTTTCTTTGCCCGTGTATTTCACAGCACAAGACGTGCCGGATTGGTTTCGAGGCCCGCGTGCTGTAGTCGGGTGGAAAGAACAGAATCTAAGGATGATGCTGTGGTGGGGCAGCCAGCGCTCGTGCAGCTTATTATCCGATGTCGAGGAAGCACGAAACATGTGTCATTACGTTGCGATTGAGACTATTCAAGATATTACGACATTCTGCTTAGATTACCGCGACAACATCCATGTCGGTCTGAGCTGGTACGCCACGTACTTTCTATTCCAGGCGACTATTGTCCTGAGCATCCATTACTTGAGACCGCATCAGCCACTGGATATGAGTCCGGATTCGGTGAACCAGGAGCTGTGGGCTCTCTCTATATCAAGGGCGCGCGACTGCCTTTCCCAGCTGAGCCAAAATAATGAAGCTGCAACGAGATGTTTAGCTGTTCTGGAAAGAATTCGAGATCAATCAGAGCGATCGCAACAGTCCTCTCTGACCCCTTCGGGCACAAGGCCCAATGCGAGCGTTCAAGATGATCACACCCAGCTACAGCCTGTTCTGCCAACACAAGACGCCAATCAGACATCTTTTGCTATCGATCCGGCCTTGCAAATCCTCTTTCAAGATACAGCGTGGAATAATGATATCTTCGAAGGTCTTCAGGGGTTCCCAATCACAGATGAAGTCGAAGTCTTTGACTACTTGGCCCCAAATGCTTGACTTCCGATACTATTTAGCAGGAGACACTGGCTACATTAGGCCTGGACCCATCCTGGACACCATCACGGAAATGAATTATTTTGAGCTAACCACAGATTCTGAATTATATAATACATTAATCAATCCTTCCAACCCAACCGATTGGCCACCAGCTTCACAGCATAAACCAGCCCCAACAACACCGGAACCTCAATAAGCGGCCCAACAGTAGAAGCAAGAGCCTGATTACTATTCTCCCCAAATGTCGCCACAGCAACAGCAATAGCCAACTCAAAGTTATTGCTAGCCGCCGTGAAGCTCTGCGTCGCCGCCAACTTGTACCCAAAACCCATTTTATACGTGATGAAAAGCGTGGCGAAGAAGATAACAGCGAAATACACAATAAGCGGTGCCGCAACACGGACCACGGAGACGATCTGATGCACCACCTGACGCCCCTGCGAGGCAAAGAGCACCAGGATCGTGAATAGGAGTCCGATGAGGGATAACGGGCTGATCCATTTCAGGAATACTTCGTCGTACCATCGTGCGCTTGTTGTCCAGCGGAGGATGAAGCGTGTGAGGATTGCGGCGCCGAGGGGAATTCCGAGGAATACGGCGACACTTTTTGCGGCGGTGCTGTACTCGAATGTGATGGTATCGCCACTTATTACTTCGATGAAGAATACTCCCATTGGGGCGAAGAGAACCATTTGCAGGAGGGAGTTGATGGCGACTAGGATCGCGCAGTATTCGTTGTCGCCTCCTGCGAGGCCTGTCCAGATTAAGACCTAGTGGATGTGAGCTTCGACGTTATGGTGACAAAGCCTTAGACTATCAGATATAGGGGGGTGAGAATTGGCTTACCATAGCGATACATCGTGCCAGTCCAACAAGAATCAGTCCTTGTCGTAGCTCCGGTTCGTCGGGTAGGAAGGCCCAAGCCAATGCTAGCTGAAGAACTGTTAGAAACTGCAAAAGGGGCATAAGTAGAAAGGGTCGTACCATGAAAAACGGAGCGATGATCCAATTAACAACAACGCTGAAGGCGATCTGGATCCAGATCCCCCGAGCCCGGAGGACATGATGCAAGCTCTCATATCTAACCTTACATAGAATGGGATACATCATGACGAGCAGACCAACGGCTGTCGAAACGAAATCAGTAATCGGAGGTCGAGAAAGAACATCACCAGAAACACTCACCTATAGGGATTGACACTCCCACAAATTTCCCTTGTTGCAGCGCAGGCCCAGTGTTCGGGACGAAGTTACCCAGGATTATACCAATTGCCATGGCTAGAAAAATCCATACTGCGAGGAATCGGTCCAGGAGCCCGAGATTCTTGAACGCCGATTGCTTTTCCTGAGGCCTTTCTGAGGACTCCGGATTCACTTGTTTCTCCACATCTGTTGTTGGTCCGGGGGACTCTATAATGGGTTCAGGTGGGTATTTGGAATGGGTCTGGCTTTTCGCGCAAGCCATTGTTGTTTCACAGTGTTTTAGGGTATATCATGGGAGTAGGTGTGAAGGTGATATGGAAGGTTGGTTATAGTGTTCGTTGGCCAGAAGCTCAATCCTGTGCTAGAGATATACCAAAACGGTCTCTCCCTTCAGAATGTGAACTTTATACAGGAGTGCACATAGGCGTGATTTTCCATAGACCCTATCCCTTGTACTAGATTTTGATACTCAGGGTATGTCACTGGTCGATGCTGATTGGACAACGCTAGGTGGAGACACTGAAGTCTCTACAACCAATCAGGAAATGGAGGTGACATACCCCGCCCTTACCCTATATAGAGTGGGGTCTCAAGTTATCAACGAAGAAATCCTACGACAATATCTACATTCACCACCATCCCGGCGAGAATAATTAATTATATCTACTCAATATGTCTACAACCCAAGCTCCATGGCATGCAGCCTATCCTGCCCCAAGGGGCGCTGCAGCCACACTACCCCGCCAAGAGCTATTACAATGGCTCAAGGAGGGTAAACAACCCGGAAAAGATTTTGTGCTAGTAGACCTACGACGCGCAGACTACGAGGTAAGTCGAGAACCTAAGTCGTCTAGTACGGAAACAGATTAACAAAGAAGCATAGGGAGGCACCATCCGGGGGTCCTTGAACCTCCCGGCCCAAAGTTTATATCCAACAATTCCTACTCTTTACAAGCTCCTAGCGGCAAGTAAAGTGGAGAGTGTTATCTGGTATTGTGGTGCGCTATGCTCTGTAGAATATCACTAGTAAATTAGAATGCGTTATTGATTTAGACACAGGGTCATCCGGAGGCCGTGGAACGCGGGCTGGCGGTTGGTTCGCGGATTATCTCCAGGATCAAGGCGAGACGAACCTGAAGAGCTTAGTATTAGAAGGTGGAATTAAAGGATGGGTCGCGGCAGGACCGGAATATACGGAGCTTATGGACGAATATGATGCGTCGTTTTGGACGAAGACGACTTCAGGATAGTTTGGTATTTGACTAGTATGGCGATATGATGTTTATGATACTTGTTTGGTATCTGTTGATGATCATATCACAATAAATAAATTGCAAATGATATATACAATAGATCGATATAATTATGTACTATGTGCAAGATACACTGCGAGGAGGCCCTTTAGAATGGGGAATGAGAACCGCATGTCCTTTACAAGAAAGCTATGATTCTTCGACTTAGTTTAGAAAGACATATACGACGATAAGGTGTGGAAAATAGGGCTTCCCATCCGCTCGGTCGTATTTAAGCCGTTATTACCTACTTGGCAAAAGGTGTAACGAGCCCTGAGTGTGTTACTGCTTTTAGGGGTGATAAATACTGAGTCTTTGGTGAGTCCTTGGTGAGTGTAACTGAGATGGGTGATAAATTAATGATAATATCACCCATTCGGGTGAGCGGGTGTAACAACCAGAAGAATTAGAAGCAAGAGTACATAAAATTTCAGGCCATATGCTGTAATTTCTATGGGTTTGGATGTCTAGTATCCGCATGGGTTTAACATGGGTACCATTTGCTATATGGTATTCCCGGGTATGCCACAGTCTTGGCTCAGCTCAATAAATAATCAAGTATCTGTTTACTTTACAGTTTCTATTAATCCACAGAAGGGCTGAGCCCTCAGTGTCATAAGCTTCTTGCAGAACACCGAACCCACCTATCACATTCGAAGATCTTTACTAAGTTTGATGTAGTCGATGCCTTCAATGGAGTTCAAAAGGACCTGGCCAAAACCCTCAGTGCACGTACCAATGATGACCTACCAGGAGACACTAGCAGGAGCCGTGAATGTAGGATAGTGAGGAACGGAAGGACATGGGCTTCGAGGAGTGGCAGGCGGTTTTAGTTGTGATCAAAAAGCTTTTTGATTGCCTTTTGTGAGTAATACGGCGTTCTACGTTCTAGGCTCTCTTATTCATCTGCATAGCTAGACGTTCACTAGTTAGGCTCTACCAGGTTAATAAATTCTTGATTGATTGATTCATGAATTGAACTCAAAGTAGGGAGGGGAAGGGTATTTCACTATAATTCACACTTGATACAATCAAATCAAATACTTGGGTATGCCTGTGTAATTACTGAGTGTTTCAGACATTTTAAGAAGTACAATCACCGAAAGCTAATTATTGTTACCCGGTATAGGGTATACAGCTCTACCAACCAGAATCGGCTTACCTTGGTGCTCCCTTCTCGTACTAGTGCTACGAGCGGTTCAGGAATTTATGCTGTACATTGTTCTTCTCTAGCATCGGTGGAGGCTATGGAACATTAGAAGACCCAGACTTACGTACTATATCCACATTTAGACCTAAGATCGCCTCTCCGCTTCGGAATGCAACTCCAGTGGATATGACCCACGTCTGTAAACGCCGAAAGCCGATATCCTAGACCCTAAGCCCTGATTTCCTCCACAGGTCAGACATGAACACTGTATTCTATCAGGTAAACCTCTGACATGAATGCATTATAATCCTTACTGTCTCTGTCGGAGTGTCAGTGATCTATCAAGTTATACTTCTTCTGTCGAATGGGATTAAATAATGTATAATGTATCAGACTCTAGATTCATTGAAAGGAATGGCCTAGTGAAGAATGTCGGAATTTTAGAGGCCCAGCACAATAAGTAGATACTGAAATCAACAACACATCCTCTTCTAGCTAAAATTTCATGAACCATGTCCTATAATCATACTATAAGATCGCAAACAAAGCTACCAGCCACAATTCTTGAGACTACCAGGGGCAGAGAACCTATTTCTTTCACCTATCATTAATGGATACCCACGACCAAAGCGTTATTACAAAATCAGAACTGTCCACACAACCCGAGAGAGCCAATTGGAGAACTCTTTCATTGGTCACCGTAATGCTCCCATCAACCAAAGTGCTGACAGTCAATTCTTTGCCTTCTTGATCAAGGGCCTTCAACACATAACTCGATTGGTGCCGAGTAACCTTCAGGGTAGTATGCCTATGTTGTATCCCGTTAGGCCACGTAGCTGTCCCTGCATGACTCCCTTCCTCCAAGGTGAACAGATACTCCCCCGGTGCCAAACAGCTTACCACCAAAGATTGGCAATTCTGAAAATGAATCATTGTTTTCCTGGAGGATTTCGAAACATCATGTCGTGTTTGACATATAATTGCCAGTAGGAAATCATCTGAAATTACTTCCTCACTGTTGCTCCCATCAATTCCGGTCGACGTTCTTGAGGATATCGGATGCTCTTCGCGCCGAGAAACATACATTTCATTCATCCCAAACTTTAATTTCCGACATAAAAGTTTTCTTAAACCAGACCTCAGAAGACTTGGCTGCCAAACATCAAGGACTGGGGATGTGCTCCCGTCGTGACATTGCTGGATTTGAAGAATTGTTCTAGGTAGTACACGCGCGGCTTGGAAAGTCTTAGGGGGAGGTGGGCGCGCAACATAGAATATTTCTGGATAGGTAATCCTGATCATTGTCAATTCACTGGATACTCACTCACAACCGTGGGATATGGAGGCTTTACTTTCCATCAACTATGAGATCTTCCATGTCGCCTGAATTCAACCGTAACGAGTGATAGAGCAATACTAGTTTCGTATTGGAGCCTATCGAACGTGCTGACTTAGAAATGCACTGCAGGAGTGTGATAGAAGTTACTGATACTATCCAATTCATGTGCGATTATAAGCTTATATCAATGCTAGCTAGATATAGAGTACCATGCCTCACGGCATATCCATTTTACTCTAAGATTAACACAGTTGCCTAACGCCGTCGCACTACATAGGTGCACTGGGTAACAATCCAGGCAACATCTTGTACTTATCCGTACTTACGCTGCTCCACCGGTGAATCCACAGAACAATGGAAAAAGAGACGAAAAGTCGAAACTGGAACGTAATATCTACGCATCTACATATCTTGGCCGGATATCATAGGGCTTGGCATATATCGGGTCGGAGGTCCGACTTTCCCGACTCTATGATGATGGATTTGCAGCCGTGGACCCAGTTCCCACTTTGAGAGATGTAAGCCTGCAACGTACAATCGAAAGGCAAGGACATGGAAATGGTAGTAGAATGGAACAAATAGTTGAAGTTGGACTACGAAACAAAGCCAAGGTGCAAAAATACCTTCTTGAGATCTCCCTGTAGGGCATATTGCAGAGTATAGCGGGTGATTAGGGTCTCTGACGCCACGATACTAATTATGTTGCGGTTCCCAAATAAGAAATTGACCCTGTCGAGACCGCCATTAACACGTGAGTTAATAAATCTATTATAATCTATTATGTTTAGTTGTATTATTAACAACCTGCCGGTAGGAATTATGCAAGGCTTCTCTTTATGGTATGTTATATTACAGACGGACTCTTTGTTTGGATAGATCCATTTCTGTAGAAATCCTGAAAGCTTTCTCTAGTCTAGGATAAGCATTGATCTAACGCAAGCCTCCATCCGACCTCACTAACAATATCTACAAGGCGCAAGATAGTTGTTTCTACTATAGTTATATGAATATCAATCCCGATGCTACACTGACAGCCTTGGATCTATTTCTTTTGAGGACGAAGAAGGTGAAACTTATGACTCGATGGTCGAAGGGATCCAAGACAAGGTCTTGAAGTATGACTTATAGAAGTTTGACGAGATCTGGATGAGACGTACCGCACACCTCTGGAACAATGGCATGGATGTCTGACGAGTGCCTTGCGGGTGAGCATGACAAGGCCTCTGGCAAAGTTGGACTCTATGAGATTAAGAAAGACCAAAGCTCGACTCAACAGGCGTCTTAGTGGCCAGCAAGTGCTTGCTTCCACGCCTTCTTCGCCTACTTGCCCGTCTGAGAGTGCTTGACCTCATACGCATCCAACCATAACGTAGAGTCTTGCTAAAATGGGGTGTAAATGTGTTTAAAGTGAGTAATTTAAGATTCGAAAGAGAAAAGCTCAAGTGTTATAATGCGCTGATGTTGCCGCATATATAGCGCCGCATCTCTAGTCGACACCAAAATAAACGCTAGATGAGATGAAGCCCTTAGGACCGCATTTCACGCTCCAGCTCAACTGCAACCGCTCATTTTGAGAAGTTCATCTGTAAGAATGCCTTTGGTCACCTTTTCAACTCCGAGCAAAGAGTGGTCACAGGAGGCGTGCCTTGGTATCTACTACTATTTACCTACCTTTCTCGTCCATGTCCTTTGAATGAGGAAGCAGAGGATGTGGCCGACGAGTGAGGTGTGTGGAATCAGCTCGGCATGGATATGTGAAATGATATAGAGTATGAAATACGTGACTCTGCTCATGAAAAATTATCTGGGTTCGGATAGATCATCTCGTCTTAAATATTATTTTGGTTTTTCCTAAGAAATATCCGGACGGCGGTTCAATGTCTCTTGAATGATACCTTTCATATCAGCAAGCTCTTCTCGGTTCCGCCCACCGAATATCAGTTGGGTTGTACAGTTATTGGGAAGAGTCTCCGTAACCGCAGCCACGGTAACTTGTCCCGTCCTAATAAACGTGGCCAGACGAGTATAAACATCTGCCGGTTGACCCTCATAGTGAAAGCCCTTGGCCTGGGCAAATGGTAAGCCCCTTTCCTCCATGAAATGACCTGAAAGCAAACATAAAACGAAGCCACCTGTTAATCGCGCATTCAGATCAACCACCACTGTCCGATTATTGCGCTCATGGATTATGACATCAATTCCCACCCAGCCTACATAAGACCCTATCATGGTGCTTGCCACTGCATTTATCGTACCCATCAGCCTCTCTTTGATACTTTCCTGCGACTGATAATCAATTATTCCACCAGCCCAGCGTCCGGTTATGGAAAAGACCTGCTCGGTGGCGCCGAGGAAAGTGACAACTGCACTTTCATTAGATGGACCAGGCGCACCAATAAAAAAGTTCACAGAATAATGAGGTTGCGTGGAATGTATGAACTCTGATATCTGGACTTCGGGCACCCCACGAGATCTGTACTGTTTCATGGCAGCGAGCATGATCTCTCTCTCGTCTTCGCTAGTGACAACCCACGTCCCTTGGCTCCCGCTGCAACGTCGAAGCTTCACTACAAACGGCAAAGGCCGAGTGGTAAAGACAGAGGTGCTTAGGTCCTCACTTTGCAAGCTGACCATCTCTAGGTCTGGCGTCGGGATGCTTGGGTGTAGAAGGAAGCGTTTGTCGTTGATCGTGTACGCAAAATCAGGACTGACAAGAGTGTCTTGTTGCAACATATACGACTTCGGTCGATAGTACCATAGCTTTTTCCCATGGGTGACTTGTTCTAATTGCTCTTGTATGTCTTGCTGGTTCAAATCAATATAATGCACTTGTGGTCGTTGATGCACTGGGAGTGGTGACAAAATTCGCTCAATCTGGGCCGGAGCATTGACTGGAGAGTACAGAAACACATCAACTGGCCCCAAAGCTAACAAGAATTTGACCGTTTTATAGGTAAGAGCCAAATTTCGGAATCGTTCCAGTGCCTCAATGCTGTTATCAGGCAAACCGACATCTTCATCCTGCGTATAGATAGTTTCACGAAGGATTTGAGGGTGGACATCGAAGTGGGTGTAGCCATTGTATATGTCTATGACGATTGGGTCGGCAATGCCGTGTTCACGAAAGAGGCCGGCCAGAGTGATATCGAGGTTTACTGAAGGTAAAGGAGGTATTTCAGGAGAAAGGGAAGTCTAAAAAGATATAAATTTTTTTAATTGCCAGAACATTGAATATCAGTCCGATTGATGAGCGACATACAACTGAACGTGTAGGATTGTATTGAGATATTAGCCACTTTGGGAGGTTGCTGAAGGTAGTGCGTGGCATATAACCAGTTATGTCGGAAATATCATTCTTAAGGCATAGCGGTATTAGAATGAAAAGAAAAGATATACAATAATAGAAACAATCCATGCTGAAGGATCTGGGGATGAAGGCGAGACGAGCGCTCCGTAAGTTGTTCTTTTTTTTGGGGGGGGGGGGGAAGAAGAAAAAAAAAAAAAAAAAAAAAAGGTAGGCAGAGTTGTCAGGCCCAAGGGGGTCAGGATTTAGTGGTTACCAACTTAGTCACATCATAGGAGCTGAAAGAAGATTCAAAGTTATATAGATCACATACCAAAGCTATACTATAGACTATAGTCTAATAGTTCAGCTTGTGCAAACTATCACTAGACCGGTTTTGGCCTAGGTGGAACTCACAATGACCAATCACCGTCATGTACGGAGTATACCTTTCCAGAAACAACCACTCAATGTGTTTTAGTAGTACTAGTTACTTTACTCAATAGACCCTTCATGAATGCTATAGATGATCATCCGTGACTTGTCACTTGGCTATAGAGCTAGGGCCGCTCCCGCACTAATTAGGATGAGAATCTGGATCACCTGCAAAAATCTGATCTTTAAGCTTAGATATTCTTGTATTCAGTTCTACAATCTCTACAGAAGTCTTAAATTTGGCCACTAGAGCAGTATCAGGATGCTGTGATATATTAGGGTCTTGATTTGGAGAATGATACGTACATTGAAAGTACCCTTCTATTTATCAATTGAATATACTGTACATCCGCAGCCGAATTATCCTTCTTATACCTCCAATATTAGATAGTCTTTGACACCCTAATCATATGCAGTGCGGTAAATTAACGTGATTAGTGGATATGATTAGCTGCAATAGTCATATTTTGGCTATGTATCAAATACGTCGCTGTACCGATAGTTTTGTACATGTATCCGGTAACTGTGGGATATTCTACTACCTTTTATTCTATATAATATGGGCTATACACGGAGAGAAAAAAAAGAATGCGAGGTATAAGAGATTGCCAGAGAGATAAAACGAGAAGCAGTTGTTTTATAATTCCAAGATATTAAGAGCCTTTAGCCGCTTATTGTCTTGTATATCGTGTTTTATTACTGCTTTGCTAATATTGCTGTATTATCTAAGTCTGCCGAGCAGCATCGCGTTCTCTTCGAATAATTTCCTGTATCTAAAGCTTAGTATCCCTTTCGTATTCGGTATAATACTATTGTATAATTTGCGGTGGGTACTGACAGGGTGGACTATAGTATAGTATTAGATAACTGGATATCGCTTGTTATAACCGTAAGAGATGTTATTGATAAAGTAAGTTGTATTGTTTTGCCATATCTACTTGTATTATATTAAACTCCCGGGAAAATCTACGGAAGTTTACTATTATTAGTCTTTATAGCTGCTATCAGTATCTGCTGCAGTTGATTATTGATTTCCGAGTTATACTGGTATACTTGGATTTATTGAGATTGTGGCTGTTTTTTTCTCTACAAATATCGCTGCTATTATTATTGTGCTATTTTTATCTGCATAGACTGTATTTATATCAGTTCTTGTTAGTAAACTTGAAGATTGGGACTCGGTTATTCTTGTAATTGAGGATCTGCGATAATCTACTGCTGTAATTGCGGATTTATATTTATAGTATTTTCTATTATTATAACCCGATTTATACAGAAGATAAGAAAATAATTAATATTATTAGATATCACAAGTCTATATCGCTGGAAGCTGCGGTATATCTGCGTAGTTTTGTACCCCAGTGAATCCCGTAGTCTTCGGATATCTAAGGAAACCAGGATATCGATATTGTCTAAATAAAGCAACTCGCTGTTTACTTCACTAGAACTTATAGTATATTGAGTTTTGTATAACATAGATAAAGAGTATATTATATCTCAGCAAGTTTGGTAGAAGAAAGTGGCTGCTGATAAGTAATTATTTCAAGTATCGATTTTACAAGCTTGTCTATTTGCTTTATGGTGTTAAAGAGCGGCTCAGACTGCATAGTCCACGCATCCATAGTTATAATAGGGGATCACTAATACCTGCTGTGTAGATATGCGGAGTCATAGGAGGGAACTATGCAGCGTGCATTTAAAAACCCCCAAGGGCTCCTGAACGTTCACCCGCACCATATATACCTACTAAAGATGCGATTCATCCAAAGATATCTCAATCGTGGAAGGCGTACCTTTTTCAAGGGTTTGAAAGTCAAGCACAGGAAGCCCAATATGACGCCTTTGCGTATTATGGAAGCCTCAATCCAGGGTATAGTAATCCCCTACCTACCTAGGTAACTCTGCAGTGATACGCATCAGACATCAGGATTTAGCAATGCAGATAACCCAAGCACCAATATATTACAGGCTTCTAAGGAAAAGCCGGTGGTAAAGTTTGCCATATGTAATGAGAACGCAATGAGCGTTGTGATGCCTCAGGCACCCCGCAGTTCCTTAACTATAAATGTTCTGTTCCTGCCTCGAAGCCCTGACTTTATCTTCTTCCTCATCTTCAGGTCCCGCTCGATTTTGTCGCGGTTCCTATTTTGACTCCTTCCTTACACGATCATCTGAGCCAAGGTCGCTCCTTCTCTATCGCACATCCCTCCCCGTTACTACTTTTATCTTCCACCTTCCTCCGTCTCTTTTGTACCATGAGCGAACCCGTCAACATGCACCTCACAGCGAGGATTCAATTCCTCCTGAATAAAGCCGGCTGGGGGTCCATTCAGGTAACGCTGGACGAATTCAATGAGGTCGAACACTTTCTCGAGGACGAGACAAAACATATCAAGTAAGTATACTTCTCATATATACATACGCTCGCTAATGGACGACTGCTATGCAAGATACACCTATAACTCTTTTACCGGTATTCTCTGTTTCAGAATGCCTACTTGGATGCATGAGAGCGCTATAACCTGGATGAATCGATGGGCAATGCAAATGGTACTGTTAGGTGACGTCGACTTGAAATCACTAGGCGTTTGCACAAATGTCACCCTACGCAATTTCCAAGGACGCTATCTTCAGAGGTAGGTCAGCCATGAGCTGTTCTCCTTCACAATGGTCCTAACCATGTTTTAGCCAAAAGATCCCCAATGTGTTTGTCATCCCAAAGGTCCCTGCCACCTCAAACAACAATACGATCTGGCCAACGATTGCCCTGGAGATCGGGTACTCAGAATCATTCGATGCTCTGAAGCAAGATGCAGATTTGCTGTTGCAAGGTTCTGAGGGCCGGATCAAAACCGTGATCCTTGTCAAGCTGGAGCCGCTGAAAGAAGACGAAACCATCATTCAGGCGGGGTTTGTGGAAGTACATGTTTTCGACCCCAATTCCGGCCAAAGACGTAAGCGCGGCCGAAGCATGGTAAGCCAACTTGTTATTGTCCGGTAGTATGTATCAAATTCTAATCATATCCCAGACTCTCTATCCTCCTCCCCACAATCGCGCCCATCAGGGCATTAGACTTGAATGGGAAGACATTCTCCGCGACCAGTTGAACCTTCACCTCTCAGAATCGGAAAGGCCGCCACCGTTAATGCTTGACGATCTCCGGGAACAAATTGAAGACTACACCATGAGACATTTACTGCAGCGAGAACAGGAAACGGATATTCCTACTGATGGTGGAACTACTGAAAACGACGAAGACGATGATTCCGAAGACGATGGTTCATGATGAGTTGATTTATTGCTAGGAAGTAGGTACAGGGGTTTGCAGGGATATCGCTACTGAGTAGACAATTAATGGGATTCCATGGATACGAAGCGTTTTCGGCTGATGATGTTTACCTATAGAAAAACTACGGTTCAGTAAGAAGACTAGATATTTTTAAACAAGCAATCCGGGGTAGATTGGAAATAGAGGTCTTCAGTATGGATGTATAGTGCCTTCAATGAGGTCTAAATCACGGGTGTTAGGAAGAGCTCTCACTATAGTACAAGGGGAAGGGTATACCGGAAGCAATTCACAGGAGGATTAACAAACACAATCTAAGAGTAACAGAAAGCTCCGAGGAATTCACTTCCCCTCCCACAGAGTGAGAAAAATTTCCACCTCCAATCTCTTTTCCCTTTATCCTCTCATCCTCTTCCTCCTCTTCTCTCCCCTCGTCCCTAATCCCTCACCTCTTCTATACGTTCTATCCTCTTTATCCACCATCTTGAGTCTTCTTTACCTCTCCTATTCGCATCTCTAATATATCATTTCGCATGATGGCGTAAAGGAAGCTCGGTGGAGTCCTCGATCCTTGTCGGAAACCATCGAATCGCACTTACCACGCCTGGTGTGAAAGCCTGCCCACCTTTCGTCCTCAAACTCTTGCCTTCATTTCCTTCCGTCGAAACAACCTCTTTCCGTCAGCAGGTAAGTAGTCTCCCTGCCTCATAAGGTGGAAGCTCGGCTTCCAGTCGTGCCAACATGTGAGGTTTGGCTAACTTAAGACCAGAATGGGCGATTTACATATTCAGGATATAACCATCGGGAACTCGGTTAATACAGGACTCTCCACAAACGTGAGGACGATCAAAAGGATCGTAACTCCATATAGTATAACAATAAGTGTATCACTTGATTAATGCACATTATGCGTCGTCGGCAGGCGTGGACAGCAGCGCCTTACCTATCAGAGAACAAGCAGACCGAAGCTCTCGACGGCACAATGGACTTGAACTAGAGTCACGGGGAGGCCAGTGGGGGTATATAACTGAGTAAATAATGTGGGCTGTTTTAAAGGCCAATATTAATTACATTGAAAAATGGCCTCGACAGGAAGACGCATATTAAGGGGCATAGGCGATAATCTATCAAACCGTAGGATCCGCCTAAGCTACGCGACCTGCTAGTGTAGTAGGTTCACGCAGAGAACAATTGGAATCCATTAGTCCAACGAGATAGCGATACTTATTTAAAAACGGAACGGCTCCTAAGAATAAAGTCAAGATTTTTAAGAACTAATACAACGACCGTAAGATTCGAAGCAGCAAAGGTAGAAGCAAGACTTAGAAGATATATACATCCCCTTATAATAACAGTATAGACGAATCGTGCTAGCAGAACTAGACTGGTAGAAAGGATAATGATCTCCCGTATTTGGGAGTAAAGATCGGTTCAGGTCGTCGTATTTGTGCCCCAAGACGTTGGATGCACAAGTTCGGCAAAAGATACAGATACAAATCTCCTATGCTGGAGGGTGATCCTAAAGAAGATAAATAAATATAGTAACGCGCCGTCCCGCTAACCAGCTTCTGCAAAGGTGTGGCCAATCATTTCATTGGGTGGTGCGGCTGGCAGGAAACTCCGGACTCCGAAGAAACAGCACTTATAAGTTATTTTGTTCAGACGTTCAGGAACGTGACCACGGCGGAAAGTGTCTTAACGATTGGCCACTTACCGATGGTCTGGAGAACTAGAAAGATAGGGGCCGCTCTGTACCAATCATCGGGTTAGGTATGAGACATACAGCGACAGCTTGCGTAGTAAAGTTTGGACCGACTATTGCCCCACAAGTTCACAACCACCACCCCATTATTACCTCGTTTTATTTTTAAAGATTGTTCTTCGTGGCAATTATTTACGTTATTCGACTTCCTAGTTAAGACGTGTGAATTATACTCTCAGTTTCCGTATCTCCCGGAGAAGCGATATGATGAGTGTGTCTAGGATGGGAGCCCATCTCCCTATCGAACTGATCCTCCTGTCTGCACAATATCTGATGCCGGTTGACCTGCTGTCTCTCTTATGTGCGGCTCCTGGGCTCGCAGGGGTCCTAACCTTTCAGCATACCACGCGTCAGGATGAGGGAGGGAGGACGATCCTACATCTACTCGCGAAGGAAGGGAAGGACGGCTTGGTGAAACTGCTGCTCGCAAACGACAGTATTTGGGCAGACCCGAAGGACAACGATGGGTTAACGCCGTTATCCTATGCGGCTCGAAGTGGTCATGAAGCGGTGGTCAGGCTATTACTGAATCGACAGGGTACTGAGGCGGATGCTAAGGATAAGAATGGGTTAACTCCGTTATCCTACGCGGCTCGGGGTGGTTATAAAGCGGTCGTCAGCCAACTGCTGGACCGACAAGACGTTGAGGTGGACTCGAGGGATAACGATGGATTAACTCCGATGTCCTATGCTGCTGGTGGTGGACATGAGGTTGTGGTCAGGCTACTGCTGGACCGACCAGATGTGGAGGCGGATTCGAGGGATAACTTGGGTCGGACACCGTTGTTATATGCAGCCTGGCGCGGACATGAAGCAGTGGTCAGGCTACTGCTGGGCCGACGAGATGTCGAGGCGGATTCGAAGGCTCACTGGGGTCAGACACCGTTGTCCTTTGCGGCGGGAGGGGGGCATGACGCGGTTGTCAGGCTACTTCTGGATCGACCAGATGTGGAGGCGGATTCGAGGGATAACCTAGGCCGGACACCCCTGTTATACGCGGCCTGGCGCGGACATGAATCAGTGGTCAGGCTACTACTGGACCGAAAAGATGTCGAGGCGGAGTCGAAAGCTAACTGGGGCCGGACACCGTTATCCTGTGCGGCTGAAGGTGGACATGACGCGGTTGTCAGGCTGCTGCTAGGCCGACAAGATGTCGGGGCCGACTCGAAGGATAAGCGTTGAAGAGGGAAGCGCTTGATAGCAGTCTGACAAGCAGACGGCTTCGGAATAGTAGAAAAGTCGCACACACACCTACAAGTACTCAGCACCAATGATATAGCAGGAGACATCAAAAGAAGGATGAATTAATTCCCTGGCACCCCTGGGATGAATCGAGGCTACATGTCGCTGCTCCTTCAGGCTGAGTGGTAACGGTTCAAGATCGTGTGGTGGATCGCGGATAGAGATTCTCCGACTAATCCTTCGTCGGGTGTGTGTGCATCGGTACCCGCGCATATAAATCGAGAAGACTAGATTCCGATGATTAGCGGTCTAGATCTTGGTCGCTGTTATGTCTGAGTGACTCCATTGTAGCTACCGATGAGAAGCTATTAAAGGCTTGCGGTTAATATAAGAATCGTATAAGATTCAAAATTCAACTGACTATGGGGTCTTGATATTATATGTTGAAAGGTGGTTTTGGAAGGGCTTATTTATTTAGTGCCTAAGTAGATCTGGTCGTGTCTGTTTTCCCCAATAAAACTGGCACCACCGTGGAACGGAACTTTGTACCGCTCTTCCCTAGTTGTTATTCCTCTCTCTGCCAGACGAAAGTGATCCCCCTAATGCGATTACATGCGTCAATTTCTGTATCCTGCCGTGAGGTTTGACCCTTTTGATGCACATTGACCGGACATATCAATGGTGAACCCGCACTTCATAGCAGTAGAACTAGTAGTTTGTAAAGTAATATAAAAAGGCACAATTGAAACCTAGTGGAGTTAATGTGATGACCCATATTCAAGCATCCCTGAGCAAAATCTTCCACTGTATTCGAATCACAATATCTCAAGCTGTTAATTACAATTAAGATCACGTGCAGCTTCAACGAACACTATTGACATCTCTTAGAACCCTTTACGAAACAATCGCCATGAGTTACAGTTCCGGTCAACTACCGATATTCCGCGTGAGAATTTTTGAATTTCCTACTAGCGACTCTATTGTTATTTGGTAAGGAAAGGAGGAATAGTTTAGGTTATCTTCCCCGTATTTCCGTTCTATATTGAATAATCGTTATGTTTTGGGAAGTTTACGAAGAGTATGTCGAGGATTTATAAACTTTAGTATTAAACTTCCTAAATAGTTCGTTAGCGTGAATGCAACTTTAATCTGGCATAGTCAGCTGAAGCGAGGCCGGCCACATAAGTGTGTCGGCTATTATTACCACTCTACTCCTACTCCTAGATGAGATTCGCATTTAAGCAGATGGTTAATTCTATTTCTATATAATAATAAACTATTGAGTAGATCGAAACGCCTAATCCTAACGTAGATATCTATTTATCTAAAGAAGCTTTTCGGGTATCAAACCTATTGGTCGGGTTGCGTCGTGGTATAGCGGGTCTTATTATTTATATAAGTAACTAAACGGAGCTAAGCCAGCGCCTACCTATTCGAGATGGCAGCTGCTACAGAAGCTCAAGGGATAATATTAGGAAATTTCTATATGAGTCGTCTACATAATTGCGGATGGAACGTTTGAAGGTATTGCATCTGTTGAGAGCTCTTGTTGAAACGGCCTCCGTGGGAGCGCTGTGAGAAGCTTGGAACGGGCAGCCTGGGCATTTGTTCGGAAGCCCGGCGTGCAGTCAACGAAGAGATCACCCGAAGGGGTGAGTGACTCTGATGGACGATGGCAGACCGACGCGACTAGCACTGGCTCAAGTGCATCAGGTGGCTTTACAATATCTGCTACCACCCTCTGAAACTCTGCTTGACTCCGTTTGACATGATATTCTACCTTGTCTAACTCGATGTTCTGACTGCCCTTGCAACCGATGTATTTTAGGGATCCATCGCCCTGATACCGCACAAGATCACCTGTCCGATAAATGGGTGCTTGATCTTGGTCTTGAGCGCGAAATTGCTGTACCCAAGCCGGTCTATCAATGAATGCCGCTTTGTCCGTTCCTCATCGTTCGAATAGCATCTGCCCACAATGGGGCCTTCGATGATGAGTTCACCAATTGCTCCAATAGGGATCAATTGATTGATATTGCTCTTATCAACTGCCCAGAAAACCGCATCATTTGCAAACCCAATATTGTCTGGGTCACACCCAGGCTCCACGCGTTCGTGGATGGAGCTGATGACAGAACATTCCGATGGCCCGTACGCGTTCAGTATATGAACGCAATGTGCCCACCGGTCAATGTCCTCAAATCTTAAGGGCTCCCCACCGAGGACAAGGGTTTGGATAGTAGGGATCTCGGTTGGCTTCAATAGCCGGGCTACAGAGGGTGTAATTTGCATCCAGTTTGCCTGAAATTGCCTCACGGCCTCGGGAAATTGTTGTACCTTTGGCTTTCAGAAGGAATACAAACACATCCAGGAGGATTGTTCGCTCACTGCCCCCTTCGGCGTGCCTGTAGATCCTGACGTGGAGACGGCATACACTGCGTGGTATGGTTGAACCGCGGACTTGAGAGCAGGGATGTCTGTTGCTTTCGACCAGACCTCCGCTTTCTCGGGTCCCATTGTTACGATATTCGTGATAAGCTGCAACGAATTGGTGTGCAGAGATTCAGAGCACACGATTAAGCTGGCTTGAGACCGATGACAGATCTCTCGCAGACGCTCTTCAGGGTGAGAAGGATCCAGCATCACAAAAGCACCTCCCGCTCGAAGAACAGCATGTAAAGCGAGGGGCGTCCATCTGGACCTTTCGAAAAAAAAAAAATAGGAACAAATTGGTCCGAGCCCCACTCCAAGAACTATGAGCTCTGCTACAAGACATGCAGAGAAACGATCCAGCTCTCCATAAGTAAGCTTTCCATCCCATACGCATACCGCCTCGGCCTCGGATGAAGCTTTGCATTGCGCATCGATCAAACGATGGATGCAAGTATTGGCGGTGGGTAGTACTAGGGAGTTCCTCACACGGACCAAATCCTAATCAAGACTGGTAAGCATGGAAACTTCCAGCACAGTGTTGGTAGCATTCTCGCCAATATTATGTAGAGTTTCAATCATCGCATGGCAGACCGGAGATGCCTGTCTCGAGGATAGCATCGTATTCCAGTGCGTCAGGGCGACGTGCAACTCATCATCGTTTACTTCAAGACTAACTGAAATATTGTACTGTGAGCGTATCAGTAAGTCTTGCCTGTGGAAGTTAGTGCAATTTCCAGTCGGTTATTTTTCTCAGTGTGATCCCCTCCATGGATTGTCTCAAATGCTGCAGAAGAAGAAGCTTCTTCACGGTTATTGGACGCTGCTCCACTCTGAAGTGATAAAACTGTATTGAACAGCGGCTGTCCTGACAGACCGACGCCATGGGGACCTTCGGACAGAGAGAAATGCTGGTGGTCCATGCTCTGAAGGAAATATTGCTGGCTTTCCTTGGGGATACTCAGTACTTGCTGGGAGATACCAACCCGGACACGACATACTAACATATTAATAAAAGGCCCAACAACAAAATCAATTCGGGGGAACATCAAAATCAACACCCAATCTAAACACGTCATTTTAACGCGTCAATCGATCGAGAAAGGCCCCCTGAGGCCTCAGGAACCGCTATGGAGGCCCCAAACCCCCATGGTGGTGGTCTACCGAACGCGTCGAGATGGGCACCCCCGAGCGGGATACCACCACCACCGTCACCACCATCACCAACACCGATATATCGAGGGGGCCCTAGGACCCTAGATATACCCATAGATCTGGGACAGATAAGCTACAGCGAATCTAGCAGGGCCCCAAGCAGGGCCTCTAGCAGAACCAGCTCCAGAAGCAGCCGGAGCACACAGAGCGTATATGGCATTCG